CTGTGGGGGGACATTAGAGTGTAAGCTCCTCTGTGCCGAGACTGATGTGACTGGCTCAGTGTGGCGGCAGTGGGGTGCGGAGTGGCCCAGGCCTAAAGCCGTGTAAGGGGCCCCAACATTTCTGATGGCTGCTCTGGGTGGATGAGAGTAAGTAGGCAAGTATTGATACTAACTGAAAGTGTCAACGCTTTCTTTATTAAAGTGACAGTCACTCCTAATTTCCTTTACACCTCTGCAGAACCCCACGTGATATTATTGTAAATTCCGCAATGAAGAAAACAGTGTTTCTTCTTTGTGGAAAATGTATAAAGAAGAAGATGATCAATTAGCCAATCCTTGTCATTTCACCTCTGAGCAAACAGAAAAATGTGATGCTTTTAAAAGCTTTTTTGACAGCGAGATTCCCCTGTGCACTCAATGGATCGAGAATTATTTTGCTGCCATTCACTGCACAATTGGATTCACATTCCTCATTATTTTCCATATATATATATTTTTTAATATATATATATACTGTATGTGTGTGTGTTTATGTGTGTGCTTATGTGTATATGTTACAGCAAATGCTACATCTAGCATCTCCAATCCATTAAAAACCTTTGTAGTAGTAAACCTTTGATTCTAAGAATGAATCCCCATTGATTCCTGCAAAAGGCCCTGCATGACAGGTTATGCTTGCACATGGTAGCATGCATTATTTGCATGTTTGACACCCTGCAAATTAGGATTTTAGTCCCATATCCTCACGTGCCTTCTCTGGCATATTTCTGAGAGCTAATTAGAAACTATAGATTTTTTGTTTCAATAGCTGCCTGTAACCCAGCCACTAAAAAAATATTGTAGGGCCACAACTGAGCTGTCAGCTAAACACTGCTGGTCTAAAATATCAAGACGCTTTTTTGCATCTTAATTTACACTTTAGGTGTATCTAAACCCAAGGAAAAAAAAAAGTAATATATGTCAAGTTACCTGTCCTTAATTGTGGTGCTTGCATTAGTTTTATTTTTCTCCACCTGATGATCCTGCCAGTGATACACTGCCTGTGGGTGACTGACAATACATTCACTGTACTGTAGGGAGCAGAATTGTCACCCTGGGATAGGACGTGTGTTAGGACTATAAAACACCTACTTCTCCCCGCCATACCATAGGGGGAAGGTGTTTTGTAGCCTACAGGGAGAGCTGGGAAAAATGCTAACTGATTACATAGAGCACAGATTTCTGGCAGGATCAACAGATTTTTTTAAACTTATTGGACAGACATAAAACATGCTTTCGATGGTAAGACTAAAAAGGAGCAAATAA